CCCCCCCGCAGATAGGGTTTCTCTGTGTGGTTTTGGTGCCGGCCTTGGAGCTCACTCTGTAGACAAGACTGGCCTTGAACTCACAGAGTTCCGCCTGGTTCTGCCTCCCAGGTGCTGGGATTTAAGGCGTGCACCACCACCACCCACCTTGGCCTATAGTATTCTGTCTTACCAGTTTACCCAAAGTTATAATCCCTGGCTCTAGGATCAATGGAAGAAGAAAGAAATGCAGAATCTCTAGAACCCCCAGCCTCCAATGCTACAAACTCTCTGTGGCTGCAAGGCTTTTGCTTGCCTACCCCACCCCCTTCTGAAAATGCCCCTTCCTCTGTACTGCCATCCTCAGGGGCTGACTGCATTTTTCTCTGACCTCCTTTATCCATAGCAATCATCTGAAGTTAAGCAAATGCTAACCAGTGTCTCTATAGCATACATAAGATTGCTGGGGGAAAAAAAAATTAGGGGCTTTAAAATCAAGCTGCAAGGCTAGGTCCTCCATTTACTCATTCTTTGACTCTCAGTTTTTGCATCAGCAAAATGGGAATAAATAGGTTGGTTATGAAGATGAAGTAAAACAACCTACTTATAAGCATTTAGAGCAGACCAATGGTCGATTTAGCAAGCTTGTCTCAAAATAAAGTCAGGACAGAGCTCGGTTATAGAACACTGGATGGCAACGTATATTCTACCAGTTATGAGGTTCTAGATTCAATCTCCAGTAACTGGTTGTAGGGCAGACAACCAAGTAAGTGGCATATACTTGTCATCCCAGCCCTTGGAAAGCTGAGGTAAGAGGATTGCTGTGATTTAGGGTAAACCTGGTTTGGGATATTTGTTTAATTTTCATTTATTCTTACTTTATGTGAATGAGTATGTAAGTGCATCATGTATGCGCCTGGTGTCTGAGGAGGCCAGTAAAGGGTGTCAGATCCCCTAGAACGGCTATCACAGGCAGTTGTGAGCTACCATGTGTGTACTGGGAACCAAAGAGGAGTCCTCTGCAAGAGTATCTATCCAATGCCTTTTTTTAACTGCTGAGCCATCTCTCCAGCCCCTCAACCTGGTTTATATAGTGAATTCAATTCAAGGCTAGCCTAGGCTATTTCTCACACACCCCCACCCCCCGCCAAGAAAAAAAACACTTAGCACATTGATTTATAGTAAGCACTTGATAAATGTTTGCTATTAATATAACATGATCTATGTTAATATAGTATTATATTATAAACACACATTGCTCACTTTAGAAGCACTGTAGGCCTCCCAACCTAATGTACAAATTTCATCATACTGGCTCAGCTTAAAAAGCTTTGTGTAGCTGGATATAGTGGCGTACGCCTTTAATCCCAGCACTCAGGAAGCAGAGGTGGGTAGATCTATGTGAGTGTGAGTTCCAAGTTAGCTAGGGCTACATAGTACTCTGTCTCAATCAATCAACCAATCAATCAATAGCTTTGTATGTAACAGTCAGGTCTCAAATGTCTTCTGACCTTATCATTTTCTAATGATGTGAACTCAGGAAAGTTTTTAAAAGATTTATTTTATTTATTATTTTTTAATGTGTATGTGTGTACTGTGTGAGTGCAGGAGTCCACAGAGGTCACAAACAGGAGTCAGATCCTCTGGAAATTGAGTTATAGACAGTTTTAAGCTGCCACGTGGGTGCTGGGAACTGAAACTGGGTCCTCTACAAGAGGTGCTCTTAACCACTGACCCATCTCTCTAGCCCGTCAGGCAAGTTATTTGATTTACTTAAACTTCAGTTTCTCCTCTTTGTATAAGAAAAATATCCATCACAAAGATGAAATATATGAAATGTGCAAAGTATACTGTCAGATCAGATACATAGTAGGCTCTCAACAAATATTAATTTGACTCCGGAGAAAAGTAATGTATCTGTCTCTAGGAAAAGAGGAGGGTGTAAAAAAAGGATTTCCAATAGTACTGGTTCTCCTACCTTTGTCCCTAAAATATGGTTCTCCCTTGGGCTCTCAGACTATGCCCCATACAGTCTCTCAGGCACTGGCAGAGGAAGGGTCCTTATTAACCTGAGCCCTGTGCCAAAACAATGCCCTTTAGGAACTGCATCTGAAGGGCTAAGAGTACATCAACCTGTGTTGAATTCGAGGAGGGAGGACATTTTAGCTATGAAACTAGAAAGTGTTCTGGAATACTCTGCTTCTCTTTCCTCTCCTCTCCGAAGATCTTTTTTAGCTGGAGAGGATGACCTTTCCTTCCTCTCTAGGAGTTATTATCCAAACTAGAAAAGGCATGATTTATCTATGATGTTGGTGCTGTAAATCTTGAGACAGGAACTCTTCTACAATTCAGGTGTTTCTCAGCAAACCCAACCTGAAGCTTCTTCCTCCACCTTGCTGCCACTTGGGACTCCAGGGAGAGTTCAGGCACAGATCTTCCTACCTTCAGCCCCATCCTTGGTTCCCTTCTCCTCCCCTCACCACATATCAGCCCAGCCCTGCAAGTCCAGGACCTATCAAAGTCAGTTTCTCTGGCAGAATCAGGTTCCCTGATGATATTTAGAGTTCCATTTTCCAGTATTAATCCTGGGCTGCCAAGGTGGAGTGGAGAGTTCTATTCCAGCTCGATACCCTAGCAATATCTCAGGAGGAGAAGGGGGCAAACTCTAGGCTGTGAGATTCCTACATGAAGGCTTCACTGGTGAGACTGGAGTACAAGCTGTGCCAGCGTAGATGGAGAGTGAGGAGCAACGCTCAGCTATAATTAGTCACCCCCACAGCAGAGCTTGAACAACAGAGAGAAAGGAGGAGGGTCTCCGCTGGGAGGAGGGGCTGCTGGCTGTCAGAAGGGGGGAAAGAGGCACAGAAAAGCATCTCTAATGGGGGATGTGTGCGTCTGAAGCACTTCCATGGGAGGACTACAAGAGGTCGCGTATGCGAAAGCACACAGGGTAGTGAGAACACAGTAAAGACCCAATAAACTTAAGTTTCTAAAATCGTGAAGACAAGAATGTGAATTGGAGGGTGGGGTCGCACTTAGGCGCAAGAAGGTGGCAACATCTTTAAGTGGGGTCGAGAGATAAGCGACGGGGAAAGTGACAGGTTAGTACAGTTATCTCAGGAGATATTAAATCTTAGACTCTTGGCCAGGGAAGGATAATTTCTTGGAACCAGAATGCCTGGGTTCCCAGGAGAACATCATCTCTTCCATGTCCCCGTGAGTCCTCATTACTGACAGGTTTCTGAGAGGCTGGACGTCTGGAGGAGAGGCCTTACTGACGTTTACTGAGAAGTGCTAACTACAAGGGGAAGGGGAAATTGAGGAAACAGTCTGGACGTCTGGAGGAGAGGCCTTACTGACGTTTACTGAGAAGGAGAAGGGGAAATTGAGGAAACAGTCTAACGATGGAGCTGAAGAGAGCAGAGACAGGCAGCCCTTTAGAAAGGCAAATCCTCTGAACTGCCAACCTAGAAGGGGAGGAGGGAGACCCACAAGAGGCGCAGGAACTGGGTGAGAACCGAGATTTGTGGAATCCGAGCGCAGTGGAAGACCCAGGACTGGATCTGGAGACCCAGGGGGGTTTGGAGGCGGGTCCGCTGCGGGCCGCTGGCCTGTGCGCGGGCGCGCAAACACAAACATACACACTCACCTATTTTGGCCAGGCTGGCCACCAGGATCCACAGGGCCACCAGGTAGGGCGCCTCCACCTCGTGCCACTGCCAGCGGAAGAGGGCCAAGCCTGGAGGAGGCTCACCCAACGGCACCGACTCCTGGGTGGGTTCGTCTGTGGCCCCCGCCCCCGCCGGGAGCAGCAGAAGCAGTGCGGCGCGCAGCATCCTGCAGCCTGCTTCGCCACCCTCCCGGCACTGCACGGCCGCCGGCCCCGCGTCGCTGCCGCCGCCGCCGCCGCCGCCTACCCGGCGCCCCCGCGTCACAGGCACGTGGGGCTCACTCCCCCCAATCCGGGCTCCCATGCCCCCAGGCCAGGTTCGGACCCCGAGACCCTGCCCAGGACTCTTGTTGGGATCCCCTCCTCCATCTCTTCTAGGTTAGTCTCAAATCTCCGGAAATTCCCCAGCGTGGCCCTCCTTTCCCCAGGCTCGAAACCCACTCCTTCGAGTGTGCTCCCCTACACCGCCTCTCACCCGGATTCAGAGAGGTGGCCAGCCACCGCGTCCCGGGGGCAGCGGAAAGGACAAGGGTCTCGGGGAGCAGAGACAAGCGCGGCTACTCCGCAGAATGCAGCCCAGCCGCGGGACACCGGCCCCGGTGCCCAGGCCGCGGGTGCCGGAGCCACGCTGTGAAAAGCGCAGGGGGCGGCGCGCTGCTGCCTTAGCTGCCAACACCGTCTCCCAAACCCGGGACCCCCTACCGGCCCACTCTCAGACCCGAGCTGCGCACGCGCACTGAGCACTCCCAGAAAGCCTTGATGGATGGACAGCGATGCCCTCAACGTATCCAGAAACCTCAAGGCCGGGACCGATCCCAGCTCATTCCAGGTTGAAAAAAAAAAGCTATTCCACTCCGGAACGGTGAGGCACCGCCCTCCCTCCCCTTCAAACTACAGGGAACTATTCGCCTAGTCCTTGCATCTGAGAGGATCTTATGGAATTCCCCTTAAACTAGGAACAACTTGGGGCATTTGACTCATCTCGCCCCAAACCCAAGGCTGTCTCCACTTTTCATTCATCACCCAAGCCGAAGGAACATGTGCTACCTGCCTCCTCACACTGACTCATTCCATTCTTTTTCGAGAAAGAGCACTCATCTTTTTTCCCCCCCACAGCTAAAGGGGACTGAATCCACCTCTTCCTTCAAATATGCAATCTATTTTCATTTCTTATTCCAAACTAAAAGAGATGCTTCTCACTGCTTTCTCCAATGAAAGAAATGCTTTCACTGCTCTTTCAAGCTGGTGATCAGTCCCATCTCGTCCCTTGATTGAGAGCGGCCCAGCTCAAAGAGATTCTACGATGAGATTTAAGCCCGAACTGCCCTAAAATCCCCGCAAAGACCTGCTTGCAGCCTCGCCCATACCCAACCTAAAGAAAGTCTCCCCGCCCTCCGCTCTGAGGCGGAGCGGGAGCTCGGGTTTTCCCGCCCTCCTACCAGTGGAACTAACGGGATCACCAGCTCGCTGAGTGGCTGACCCAAGCGCCGCCTCCGGCGGTGGTTAACCCCAAGCGCGCGCTCTGGGCCAAGCCTTGGCTCCACCCCCTTCCTCAGCCCCGCCTCCCTCTGGCTCCGCCCCCCAGGCAGCGAGCGTCCGGGGCCCGGCCCAAACAGCCAAGTGAGTCGGGTTGAAGTTGCAGCGGAGCAGGGACACAGAGGCGCCCAGGGGTAGCCGGTGGCAGAGCCATGGCGGGCGAGGAAGAGCGCGGGGATGGGGACCCAGTATCAGTGGTAACCGTGAGAGTGCAGTACCTGGAAGACACCGACCCTTTCGCATGTGCCAACTTCCCGGAACCACGCCGGGCCCCCACCTGCAGCCTGGACGGGGCTCTGCCCCTGAGCGCGCAGATTCCTGCCCTGCATCGCCTCCTGGGGGCGCCTCTCAAGGTGAGGGGGCTGCCGAGAAATTTGCGCTCGGAGGTTGAGGTGGGCGGTGGGCAGTGCTTCTAGTATAGGGGCTGTAGCGGATGCTTGCCTCCGGAAAGTCTCCGGCCGGGGTCCCACGATCTACGCTACTCTGCCTACAGGGGGAGACTCTCAAATTGAGACATTGTAGAAGGAAAATGAGAGGTTGTGATTTGCTCCACCCAGGCGTCCCTTGAAAGTTAAGGCCCTCCTGAAGAGGTGCTTGGGGTCCCTTCGCTGCCTGTTGGGCAGAGTCACTGCAGTGGGCAGAGGGTCAGTAGCCGTTTGGGTTGTAGCGGATCGGGGAAGTGGAGTTGGGGAGGGACCGGTTTCCACCTGCTTCAGGTAAATTAGGGGCGGGGCCACAAAGAGGGGCGTGCTTAGGGAGGACCTGGAGCGGAGGCCCGGGTTTAGAACCTAGAGGCTGGGGTGGGTCCTTGCAATACAGTCTCTTGCGGGATGACAGGAGTACCTTGGAAGCAGCCGAGCCCTAGCGTTGCCGAGCACGCACGGGTGGAAAAGCCCTTTGAGTCACCGCCCCCATGGTCCCTTAGGCCTGCCGCTGGTAGCCTACGCCTGGAAGGGAGGGGGCGGGCCAGTCTAATTTAAACTGCTGGCCTACCCTAGTTTGCCGTCGATCTTAGGCCGACTTTGCACAGTTGGAGAGGCTCATTTCCAGATGGCCAGCGGGACCACCCCTCCCTTCCAGCTCGCCTTGTCCAACCCCCCGCAGGCATCCCTTTCCGGCTTGTTTTTTCCGGGCCAGGACTCCCGGAGGCGTACAGGCTACCACCCCCCCAGGGTTCCCGACCTGTGGGTTAGCTGGGAGCTGTGAGGAAGAAGGCAAGGAGTCGGTGGGGTGCCTCCACTGGGCGCGGAGTTGCGCAAACATGGCCCCTAGGCCCGGGGTCTCCCCTGGAATGTGCCCTGAGCGCCAGGCCCCCAGACTGCATTCCTTGCGTTGCAGCCAGCCCTGCCTCCAAGTGCAGGCAGGAGGGGTCGGGGAAACTTGGCCTGGGGAGTGGCGGGTGTCCAGGCATAGCCCTAGCTTTAAGACCACAGCTGGAAGGATGCCACATACTGCCCACCTCCAGAGTTTTGGTTCACCTCCTGCCTCCAAGGTACCACCTCCTCCTGTTCTGTTCAGAGTGGTCTGGAGAAAACATGTACAGCCTGAGGTCACATGGCATTCAGTCGGACGACAGAAAAAAGGGTGCTGAACTCGAACTGTTCACACAGACTAGGGAGAAAGAGATGTTGAACTGAGACTGCTTAGCTTCTAAACTAATAAAAGCCCTTGGCCAGAAATAAGTTGGGGGGCTAAGGCTGTAGCATTTGCTTAGTATGTACGAGGTCCTGGGTTTGATCCCCTGTACCACAAATACATACATACATAAGGCTAGAGAGAAGGCAATAGTTGTCTCATTCCCTCCAGGACATCCCTCTTCACAGTTGGGAGCAGGCCTGGGTTATTAAAAAATGAGGTTCAGAGCCTCCTCTTCATTTAGAAAACGTACTGCATGTTTTTAGCCTGTACAGCAAGGCCCCTGGGTTGTGTGTGTGTGTCTAGAAGTATGAGTGGATATGACTGTCTTCCCAACCAGGTGCTGTGTCTTGTTCTCTGCTCTTTAGTGGAGGACATTACTGAGCTCCATAAAAGATGTGTTTCCTTCCCCAGCTCTGTACTTCTTGGCCTGACCACCTTCAGGATCTCCTACCTGAAGCACAGAGAACTGCCCCTTCCCCCATGGGGAGGCTTTGGGAAAGGCATAAAGTTACCACACTGTTTAGAGCCAGAACTCCCCGGAGTTGACAGCTTTGCCAGGAATGGTCAGATGCACTGTGATGTGCTTGTCCCAAATATAAACTGTGACCACAGACTCAAAATAGAAGGCTGGAGGAAGAGGGACTGAGAACAGGGCAGGGGCAGGGACATCAGAGAACGGAGGGAGGAGGAGATCAGGGCTCCCTGCAGGAAATGTCAACAGCTGGTTCCTCTCCAGATCCTCTAAGTGGGTGCCCCAGAAGCACAGGCATGAGTTGCGTATACCTTGCTTAGCTTCTAGAAGGAAGAGATGGACTAGAAACCCAGGCATCCCTGTTGTAGGCTGTAGGGTAAAAATGGAGTGACAGGTTCTTGCTATCCACTGCTGAATGAAGCAGTGTAGTTAGTTGTCTGGCAGAAAGTAGATTACAATCAAAAGACCTCTGTCCTCCCGTTCTGGGTATGGCCTCTATCACCCTCACAGACCCTACAGCCTCCCTGGGGCTTTACCCCTCACCCTGTTGGGCTCCAGTTTCTCTGGGGACTCCCTTTTTAAGCCACTCAGAGCTTGCCAGTCTGAGAAACTTTGCTCATTTCCTCCACGTCTAGGAGGAAGCTCCTGGCCACAGCCTCTGACTCATCTTCTGTCCTGGTTGGGGGCAGGGGAGCCTGGCAATACTGTAGGCTAGGCCTAGTGTCTCTAGGAGAACTCCAGAGTCTTTCTCCCATTTAAGCTTGGGCTCTTTCAAGGACTTACCCTG